CCAATAACTGTAGCACGAATTTGTTCCTCAACACTAACTTCTTTACGAGGTATATAAGTAGCTGGACCTTCAAATAACCATTCATCACCGGCACGACGTTGTTCTTTAGCAGTTTCATCATCAAAATCAAGGACAGCTTTGAGCCGTAATGCTGAATTAGCAGGTACAACTTTCAAAGGAGTAACAGGCTAAAACATAATCATATATAAACATATACAAAACAAGAATTATCAAATTTCTACCTGACGAAGAACTTCACCAGGATAAAGAGGAAACGGTGCTTGATCAGGTTGTGCAAGACGAATATCCAAATCAGCATGAATAAGTTTAGCTTGACCATTTTCATCAAATTCTACTTCTCCAGCTTCATTACGTATTACAGGTGATTCAACAACACAATAATGACGTGGTCTGAAATAAGATTTAAAATAATTATTTATTTATTTGCATTGCTTTTTTACATACGGTACTGTGATCATCTTTTCGGGTCCAAGAATAACTGTTTCATTATCTTGTTTAATGAATGTTTTGGGACCAATTTCAAGTCGTGTAACATTTGTATTTTGATCCAATACATGAATATAATGATAAGGTGGAATTCGATAAACTGGACTTGAATGACTTTTAGTATCACTTGCAGTAGTTGTTTTACTCATTGTGTGTATTACTACAGATATATCAGTAATAATCTAGACAAAAATAAGAAATTGAAGGGCTTTTATAAACGGAAAAAACTGCGGGTATGGTATTGCATTTTAAATGGTAAAGAACATTTTCAAAATATTGTGTAAGTTTACCCCGTTGAGTAGAACAGAAGAAAAAAAAACAAGACTTACGATAAAATCTATATTTCACTCTCTCGTCTACATTCTATTATGTTCTTGCACAATCGAAGTTACTTACTTATAATGATAAGGAGTATACAAAGATATACGGGTGAATTAGGGGAAAAAGAATCAAATTGCATTCTCAAAATGAAATTTTTTTTTGTATGAATTACCAATGAATATGAAATATAGAAAAATTGCAAAATAAGTTTGTAATCGATAAACAAAAAGTTCTTGTTTTGCCCTACTTACGTCATTTTGAAAAACATTTCATCAGAATGAAAGAATTATTCATAGTTAGCAAATTAAATCAAAAATTTTCCTTTCTATTTGTTGCAAAAATGTCTATATTTTTATTTTCAAATATATGTTAGACGACGAGAAAAGAAAAGGAAGCACACTGACAATGACACACAAGTTATAGACAAAAAACAGTGAGAAAAGAAAAAACCGCGAGATTGAACAAATACAATAGACACATACATATACGACATAAGAAAAAAAAGAATGTCTAGATTAAATTTCATACGCTTTTTTTTGTTAATGCATTTTTCTAAATACATAATCATACAACAAACAAACTAAGTACTTTTTTATGTTTTACAAACAAA